TTCCTAAATTGAAGTCATACCAAAATCCTGCCTTCCATTTTAGGCAAGTCCTGTCTGCCTGCCTGGGTACACCTGAGTTCCTTTCTAAAACCCCTTTCTCTTACACTTCTGTCCAGCAATCCCTCCCATATAACTCTTAGCACTTGGCTCCCATACTGCCTCCCTGTGATTCCTTCCCAGGCCTCCCTCCAACCCCCAAGCCCTGGTTCCTACAATCTCATCCTTTAAACCTCTTATAGAATTAATGGATCATATTTTGTCAGAATCACCACGTGAAACTTGCATTTAGTTAAGTCAAAACAAACCAAATACTGGCAATTTCATATGGTAAAAAGTTCCTCATTTCTACGCTAATGTGTATTTTCCCATCTAAACTGTAGTCAGGAAATTCCTCTTTGTTTTCTCAGCATCTAAACACAGTTGGCCTATGTGGGTGCCCAATTAATGCTTGCTGGATGAACAAGCATCATTGGACACATTTTTGTGTGCTGCCTGTTCCACTAGGGCACTTGCTCCAAACAAAAACAAAACCAAATCTAGGACGATAGTAAAACATCTTACACGTTTCCATCCCAGCCAAGCCAAGCTCCAGATGTTTATCTGAGCAGGCTGAGCAGAACACAAGAGCATCTCAGAACATGCAGGGGGCGGGAGAAGCTAATCGCTCAGGACAACTACCTTTCTGGCAGGAGAAACAGAGTCAGCGGTCGTTGGAGAGGAAGGAGCAGCTGGATCAGGAGATGGAAGGCAGGAAGAAGACGGAGAATGAGGATGAGACAGGCCTTTAGAGAGAAGTTTATTCTGCACAGAACAGAAATAGAAGAAACCATGATTATCTCAGGGCAATGCAGTGGGGCGCACCCCTTGACCGTGCAGCCCCTATGCTTATGCATTCAAGGAGGGAAAAGATATCCAGGCCGTGTCTCAGGACAGAACAGCACATCTACTTCGGAGCCCAGCAGACTATCAGGCTCCTGGTTATCCTGCTTTCTGCTAGTTATTCCAGCTCCCTTGGCCTACCAAAATAGCTATTCCTGTTCCTGCCTTCTTCTGCTGCAGACATCAGTGCCAACTCCTGCAGCTCACACTCTGGGCTTGGTATGAAGTAGCAGCTACAAGCTTAGGAAAGGAGAGTCCTGAGCTATAGGAAACAGATGGCCACAGCAGGGTCCTCTGCAGCCACAGGCAATAGCCAGTCTGTGGATAACCCTTGGAAACCCTAAAAATGAAAGGCAAAGTGTCCCTCCCATGTCTATGACTCTACCAAGTAGCTGGGAACACGGGGCTGGAGATTTTCCATGACAATATCAGAGGAGGCATGTTCTAGAGACTAGACTCGCTGCAAACAAGGGAGCACTCATTATCAACTATGACCTCCCTCTGAGCACATGCTCTTCTTTTCAGCAAGTTTCTGAATAAGTACCTGGATGGAGGAGGCAGTAGTTCCTATTCTAAGGCAAAGCCATTTTTCTTGGCTCAACATTGCCTTTTGGGAAAGCAGAGCATGGGCTAAGGCATGGGATCACCCTCGTCATTCAGTGCCACAGGGAGTCAGGGTCACAGGGAGGTCTCTCCATGGTCCCTTGGGTCATCCTGGGCAGTGAGTTTACTGTCAAGCCACTGTGATCCTTATAACTGGCCAGCTTTCCCTCTTTGTATGGGCTCCTAGGCAGCTCAGGAGCTACTCCAAAGTCTAGGTCTACCAGCAGGTGTTTCTCTCAGCAACACTTTCCTTTGACCCAAGATTATTTTTCTGACTTTGATTTTTCATTTTTTCATGATTTATCTACTTATTTCAAATGTTCCCATTTGGGTCTCTTTTAGATGGCAATTTGAATTCTTTCATGACATAGAAAATGCACAGCTCCCTGTGCTATCAAAGGAGGAAGGAGGAAGTCAAGCTCCAGAGAGTGATTCATGGTCATCTCATTAGATGCCCAATATCTGAACCCCTGGGGCCACTGAAATCCCTGTGTTTACCTGTGGGAACTCCCCATGTCCAAACATAGAGGCCAGGTGAGCTGCCTTCTCCTTAATGTTCTTTGTGTGAAATTCCCTGTTGGCCAAATTCTGAGCTTTCTTCTGCAGTCGAGAAGAGAAAGAAAACAGAAAAAAGAGACAGTGATAGGGACCGATGGTCACCTGGGGGGGATGGAGACAGTCAGGACAGGACAGGACAGGAGACAGGGAGTGGACAGTAAGGAAAGGAACCCACCCTGGGCAGGAGGAGAGAGAGGGGGACAGGGAGACACCCCAGACATGGGCAGACAGGCAGGGCCCAGAGTGAGGCTTTCACCTGGAGAATCTTTTCCTCCACTTGCTGCAGCCGTCGCAGCACCCCAGAAAGGGCCAGAGCCCCCTGGCAGGTGGGAGGCAGGCCAGCAGGATGTTCTGGCCCAGTTAGCTGCAGGTCAGACTTGGTTCTGGCTCTCCAGGGCCTGCCTGGGCGCTCGCCACCAGCAGACACTTGATTTAGCTCTCGGAGCACATGCCCCGTCACCACCACCGGGGAGAACTGGGAGAGAAGGAAAATCAGGCCTCCTTCCCCACTGTGGCCCTTTCACAGATCCCCCACCTTGAGGGACCCCCATGAGGACCAGAAACAAAGGGCATGGTGGGTGCCACCTCCTGTAAGATTCCAAACCAACCTCGAGTGTGGAGGTGCCACCATCTGCATTAGAATCACCCACATCCTCCTTAAGAGCCTTGGGCCTCACCCCAGACCCACCAATCAGAACTTGGACCACCTCAGAGGTTCTCAATCCCCGCAGCACACGGAAATCACCTAGGGTACTTAACTCCTAGGGATGCTGATTTAATTGGGGGTGGACACCAAATAATGGTATTTTAAAAAATGTTCTACAGGTAATTCTTATATGAATAAACATAAAATCACTGCACTATATCTGCATGGATCTCACTCAGCCTCCAAAGTCCGGAAACAATGCAAAATTCCTGATGCTGATTAGACATCCTTGAGTATTATGGGCACTAGCAGTGATTCTATTCAAATTCCAAGCCCAGAGATGAAAGCCAGAAAAAATCCTGAGGCCATGGCTTCAGGCAGCCCCCCTGCCTTCATGCCGACTGTGCCCCAGGGAGGCCTCCACGATTTGCCAGCCTCTTCCTGTGAGTGGCGTGTAGCACATGGGCCTCCTGAGCCCATTCCACCATCACGGCCACTTTTCCATTCAAAGCTAAGTCCCAGTAACATCCCACAAAATACCACATGGTGTGGTCCGTTTTCTCCCAAGCAAATAGATACCTAAAGCCTGCTAGTAGCAGGCCAGTCAATACCCCTGACAGGCTGAGGGATCCATGCATGGATTTCAAGATGTCGTAAGCTTGGTGAGTCTTACCTAGAAAGGTGGCGACCTCAAGTTGTGTCTGCCTTCCCAGAGATCCTATCATCAGCCCTACTCGGGGTGTGGAGAGAGCCACTGACCCCACCCCTCAGAACCAAGTTCCCTCTGGCCTCACCAAGACAGCGTCCACTGGAAGGAGCCCTACCTGCCTTTTCAGAGGAGGTGATGGGCTGGGGTGTGAGCTCCTCTGGCTTGGGGCAGCGAGAGTTAACAGGAGGGTCAGAGGAAGCGCGCAGGACGGGCTTACCTATCCCTGAGACGTGACGTTCCTGGGAGGAGAAAGGTGAGTCCAAGAAAGCAGCGCAGGAAACATGAAGGAAAAGATGAGTCAGACTCAGAGACACTTGGAAGGAGGAGAGGGAGAGAGGGAGGGAGACAGATTTTGCAGGTGCAGAGAGACCACTGGGCTGAGCTCCTGCGAGCCAGGTCCTGCCAGAAAACTTGAGTCCGGGCTCTCTGTCCAAGTGAACAGCAAGTTCCAGAGTCCCCAACTCTTGGGCAATGTGTGACTCCCAGGGAGGCCATGCTTTTGGCTCAGACCCAGGCCTTGGGCAGCCACTGCCAGCATCCAAGCAGGCCCGAGTGGCCAACCCTGGAGTCCTCCTGGCAATGGGTTGCTTCATGCCCACTAGGGGACAGGGATGTGGCATCCACTCAGAGAAGAAAGTCCTCCTTGACCTCTGAGCATGAAAAAGGGTCAAGCCTCCAGAATGGGCCTTTGGGGGGAAAATTCAGAGAATTACAAGTGTGGGGAAAATGGCCCCCTTCTAATAAAATCACCCAGGGAAGTCAGTTCATCGAGGAGGGGCATGCATGTGCTTCTTCCTCAAGACCAAGAATTGTCTGCCTCCAGTTAACCAAGAGTCTGGCCCTGTCATGTGACAGGTATTCTCTAAAGGAAAATGGAACTCCATATCCCAAGCTTTTTAAATGTGACAGCAGCATTTCAAAGGAATTCCGGGTACAAACTGAATCACGCAGCACAGACTCCCCCAAGTCAGAGTCCAAAGTCAGCTTGGTCTGCAGCCTGAGACACAGCATTTGACCCTCCTCTAGGCTCAGAGTGACCCTGTCAGACACCAACCAGCCTGCCTGATGCAAGAGAGCTGAAGAGGGGCTGCCTGAGAAGACCTGGGAGGCTGGTCTCCATGCCTGCAGCCCAGCTTCTGCTGGTTGGGACAGATGCCACCATGGACTTAGTGCTCTCCCAGGCAGCCGGCACACTGGAGGCTCCCTAAGGCGCTCCCATCTCAAAGATGGCTGCAAAGCAAAACCCAAGCAGGGAAAGGGCTCTTCCCCTGTGCAGAGCAGGCATCAGCAAACTGGTCCATGGGCCAAATATGACCTGCTGTTACTGACTCCTGTCACTTACTGACTCCTGTAAGTGTTGTCTATGGCTGCTTTCGGGCAGAGCTGAACAGATACAAGAGAGATTGGATAACCCCAGAGCCTAAAATACATGCTATCTGGCCCCCTTTAGAAATGGCTGCTGACTCCTTAGCTAGGAGTTCAAGCCCATGTTCGCCAGGCCTGGCTGGCATGCCAAATCTGTCACTAGCCTCGAATTTTCTGCTGACTTCTCAGCTGGTTCTGGGCACCACAAAGGCAAGCCCAGTGAGCATTTGATAGACTCACCTGCTTCTGCAGAGAGGGATTCCGTGAGTTCTCCTCAAACTTGGCCAGTAGTTGATTTGCCATGGACTTGACTTTGTTCTGATTTCTACCATCTTTGCTGCCTCCGCCCTCTTGATTGGAGCCCAAGCTCCGGCTGGAAAAGGTTGAAGTCTGCAAAGGCCCAATCAGAGCATTGGTTTTTAGATCGTGGAACCCAGATATCAGGGAAGGGGTTTGGAGGCTCAGGATACAGAGCCCAGCTTTCTAAAGAGGGGTGCCCCCTGCGGCCTGAGGACGTGAGTCAGAAGCAGCTGATGCTCCCCAGAGGAGATGGTGCTCACAGGAGGGGCGAGCCTCCCCAAGGACTTGGGTGGGGGGCACACTCAGGCTTGGAAGCCATACAGGGCTTTCACTTCCCAGCCCAGTGACCTTGGCATGCACAGCTCAGAAGTTTTCTCAGCTGTAAAATGAGGTTGCTAACCCATTTCCCATGGTTGTTGCAAAAATCAAAATGCAATAATGAAGTGATTAACAAAATAATTTTCAAAATATCACATGCCCTATCATGAGGCAGAGAGTAAGGGGTGCAGGAAGGGTGGGGAGGGCAGTGTCAGCAGGCAGCACACACTCTGCTCTTCTTTGTCCCTCCTCTTCTCATCCAATCCCACCCTCAAGCAGTCCTGCTCTGTGTTGCTATCTCTTTAAAAAAAGAAAACTTTGATTTTGAAATAATTTCAGATTTATATAAAATTACATAGTCCAGACCCTTCCTGCTTACCCTTTACCTGGCTGTACCTAATGCTAACATGTAGAATAATCATGACACTTCTATCAAAACCAAGATGTCAATACTGGGACAAGAATTCTAGCCACACTACATAGACCTGGCGGCACCAGTTTCTCCACTAATGTCCATTTCTGGCTCCAGGATTTAACACAGGACCCCACGCTGCATTGAGTCCCAGGCTTCCTTGTCTCCTCCCTTCTGTTATCATGTCTCCATCTCCCTTTGTCTTTCATGGCCTGGACACTTTTGAAGGGGATGGGTGAGTTATTTTGTACAAAGTTCCTTAATCCAAATTGGTCTGATGTTTTCTCATGATTACATCATGGTTATGGATTTTTGAGAAGGTGCCAGAGGAGTGACATGTTTTTATCACTGTTTTATTTCAGCAAATCTGATATCCAGCCTTATGACTGCTGAGATGCTGCAGGGGTCACTTGGTCAGGTTATTTCATTAAGCAAAGTTCCACGTAAGGTTTCTTTAGCTCATCTGATAAAAATAAAACTTTGGAAATTACTGGTGTTCATTGGCTGTCTGTGCCTCTTAACCACAGAATCTGCTCGCATAGGCCCAGAGTAGGGCGGTAAGTGTCATGTCAGATGGTCAACCTGACTCTCATTGGAAGGACACCCAAGATGTGTTCACTTGGAAGAAATTCATTGGAAGAGGGAAGCTATTGTCTATTTTTTTTTTTTAAAAAAAGCTCCCCAACAGCTTATGGGGCACCTCGAATGCATAGCCACTCTGAAGTGTGGGGCAAACACAAAGAGTCACTCCCTACTTCAAAGTGTGAAATGTAACTCTGTAGCGCAACCTCAGCTTTGGAGAAAAGAGGCAGGTAACTGCGGTGGTCACTGTTGTACAAGATCAAAGTCAGCCAGGGCAGTGGGTCCCTCTGATCAGCATGTCTCAGACTTAATGTCATATGAGTCACTGGGGTCTCCTTTAAAGGCAGATTTAGATTCAGGTGGTATGGGGTGGCCCCGAGACTCTGTGTGGCCAGCCAGCTGCCAGGAGATACTACTGTGCTAGTTCCCGACCTACACTTTGAGTAGCAGGAATGACTGGAAGTAAAATAGTTGGCACAGAAAACAATCCAGAGCCATCTTAGAAGGGCAGGTGCAAACCAGGTTTCTCACGGTCTAATTCTTGTGCTATTATCAACAGCAACAGGAGAAATAACACCCTCAAATAAGCCACAGAAGACTTCCACCAGACACAGAATGTATCACAGGGAAGCTTCTTGGGTGGAGGCAGGAGAAAATTCACCAGCACTAAAGGCAAGAAACAATACCCAGGGGCCTTGGCCATCTCTCCAGTCCTGTTAATCAGCCTTCACTTCCTCTTCCAAATCATCTCCCTATTTGTTGGCTTCCTGCTTACACTAGAGCCACGAGACAAGGAGTACCAGTGCTTGAAGGGATCACCTAATGAGTTTCTAGAAAAGATTTGGACAAGGGTGATCTGAACTCATTTGAATAAAACGAGTCTGTGTACATTTTAAGTGAACCTAATTCCAGTTTCTCTCATCAGAGCTTCCCTTTGACCATGCCAGAAAATGGGGTAAAGCTCAGCTCCTGCCCACTCTATCATGGTAGACCTCATGGCTTTACGTCACCCACCTCATCCAAGTTCAGTGTTGTGAGACCCAGCAAGGCTTCCATGTGAAGCAAGTCACAGACATGAACAGTAACGTCATAAAAATATGCAATTATAAAATGATTCAAGCATATAGGCAGAAGTCTTTTCTAAGTCCTATAACTCAGACATGAATGTAGTATATCCTTTTTTTTATCCAAGGACAAATTATCCTTGTCACTCATTTCATAATTAGTTATCCCCCGGAAGGCTAGTGAAAGCTGAGCTGCTGTCTGTGGCTCACTTACAGTATCTACGCTTGCTTTTGTGGGGTTCAAAGTTTTTTGGAATGAAATGTGTGTCTCGGGTCTCTTTAACAACCTGCCTGGGGAAGCAGGAACTGATACTCTCTTTTTCAGTTGATCAATTTTTCAGTAGCTGGAGAGAGGGAGTCCTCCTTGGTTTTGACAAAGTAGCCATACTTTTTCTTCTTTCACCAGAAGGTGGCACTTGTGGGCACTGGGCTAGTTCCCTTACAGACTCCACAAAGGTAGAAACTGTGACCAGCAAGTGGGACTGCGGGTGGCTCTTTGCTCTTACCACTCTTATTACACACTGATTAACACGTGTGCAGGTACCATGCCAGCAAGGCATGCATCATCTTATTTAATCTTTAAAAAGCCTGTATTTTTAAAATTCAAGTGTATCATCCGTATTTAACAGTTAGGAGCCGCACGCCCTGGGGGGCTGTGTTTCTGAAGGTTACATAGCTAGTAAGTAGTGGAGCGAGGACCAGAACCCCGGCTGTTTTTCCATCCAGCCAGGCTTGGAAGCCAGTGGTTCATGAGAGAGGACAGGGAGAAGGGCCAGGGAGGCTGCTGTGGGCAGGACTGTGGCCCCTGGTGGTCAGACAATGGGAGTGGGCCTGTTTCAAGCAGTGCTGTCACCCACCTCATCCAGGTTGTTGAAGCCTTTCCGCCTTCGTTTGTTCATGTCATTCTCTTGGGTCTGGCTGTCCAGCTGCAATGATGGAAAGCAAGGTGAGGTCAGAGCCGTCAAGGGTGGCAGCTCCATTAATAGCCCTGAGCCCAGAGGCTGGCCCTACGCCAGCACGGGGGACGCACCCCTGTCTGCAAACAGCTGCCAGCCCAGGAGACAGGCACAGACAAACAGCTCTGACCGTGACGGTGGCTATTCCAGTGTCATGTTCAGGCCCGGTGTAGGGAGCCTGACTCCACATGGGGTGACAGTCACATCCCAAAACGCAAAGAATCCCTGCAGCCTGGACAGAGCAGACACTGTCTCCATCGTCAACTTGACTTTGGGCTCAGAGTGGTCACTGCCAGATGTTGATGGCCCTCAGCCTTATGGAGACCACCTCCCACAGGTTTCTCCACTGGCTCGCTGCCAAGCCAGGCAGGGATTCTCTGGATTCCTATCAACCGTCCCAGGGTTGAATGGCAAATTCCTTCTGTCATTTTAGTCATCAGTGCAGCCACCAGTCAAGGATATTTACTAACTTCAAAGAAACTGGATATGGTTTGAGAACCTGGTGCCCGTACAGACAATGTGTGCAGGAGCATTCGATTTACTGTTGTTTTTTTTTTCCCTCCAGCATAACTTATTGTGCCACTCCCTTCCAGCCTCTCACTTTCAGAAGTATCCTGGTTTAGATAATAAATTACATGGTTGCCTACTGGTAATCACGTACAGTCTACTTTCTAATTCCTGAATCTGGACATTTAAATCCACAGAACCCTGTTCCACCCAAACCCATTGCATTTACCCCCGCATGGGCCACCCAAGGGCACATGGCTGTCAGGCTGGGCACATTGCTGTCATGTTGTCTCCTCGAGGCAACGTGTGAGGAGGCAGGGGTGAAGCTCAGCTGCTGGCTGGGATATGGGCTGGGGGCTGGATTTAGCACCTCTTGTGCTCCCTGCAGATTTAGCCTGTCCTGAACATGGGTTAGTTTCCTCTACCCCCCAGTTCTTAGCTGAGGTCTTTTCCAGATGTCAAGTTCTGAGGATCATGGAGCCATTGCCATGAACCATGTATCCTTCCTGTTGGGAGCTTCCTACACAGAAGGAAGGGCTCTGGGTATGGGTAGCAAGCCCAGATAAATCCCAGCCTTTGTTCCACTTAAGATGCAGCAGAAAAGGCTGCAGACCACCCTCTCCCCTCACACCCAGGGTCCAGCTGGTCAGCCCCATACATGCTCATCTTGCACAATCAAAGGTGGGTTTGTTTTTTTTTTAACCTCCTGCTTGGCTTTACCTCTGAACAATAACTTTCGGAACCCCAGCACAGAGCGGAAGTACATCTTTCCCTGCCCTTAAACTCTCTATCATCCCTGCCTCCACCCATATTTACCAGCACCATTTTTATTTTCTAAGACAAGACCAATTGCAGTTTAGTCATTGATATTTGTTCAAAAATGTGACCCTTCCCTTGCGGGGCAGCAACACAGCAGATCAAAGGACCCTGCCTTCCTTTCAGCATTTTTCTCTGCTTCCAATAAATCATTATTCTGTGAATGGAAATGGTTTCAATCCAAAAGCCTGGGCACACACCAAGAGAAACAGATGACCTTATTTGCAACAATGTTGGGTCTTAGAGGCTGGGCTGTCTGGGTCCCCAGGCTGTGAAAGCTGCTCTGGCCCTGGGACTGGAGCCTCTGAATTCAAGTACAGGATGTCCTACCCAACAAACAGAGCTTGCACCATCTCGGGACTTCCTGCTGTGTTTTGTTTCCACCTTAAATGAGGACTTGGCTTCCCTCAAAGAGCAGCGCCTCTTACTCTGTCTTTTGCGCTTCACTGCAGTGGTTTGACTTTTTCAACAATCAAAGCCTGTACTGACCCAAGCCAATATGTTGGTCACAGGCTCACAGAAGACAGCCTTGGGGGGAGTGTGCCTGGTAGCAGCAGCTAGGAAGACCCCAGGCCTCCTGCAGGAATGCAGGTCGTGGTGAGAGCAACTTCAGCTGTTCTGATGCAGCCCGACCCGTGAGACATGGGTCAATAAAATGCAGTCTATGTGAAAAGGCTGGCGACATAGAGACCCAGACAGTCTCTAGCCTTCCTATGGTTCGCTCATGGAAACACTGATTGCCAGCTAAGCGTTAGGTTAAAGCAAATGACAGAAAGCAAATCTGGAGATTTATCTAATTGCTTCTAATCTGTATATCTCTTATTTGGGAGCCAAAATTGCCTCAGTAACCCCATCTCCTTTTATAAAAAGTTGGGGAACAAGGGGAGAAAATACTTATTGTGCCAGTCAACATGAGAAAAAAAAATTCACTTTTCCATGGTGGTGCAGGGGTTAAAGACAGAGCTATCAAGCTATTGCCAGCCACTGCAGCATGAGTTCAATTCCCTGGCCAGCCAGGGAGGTAACCCACATGGCACAGCAGACCTCTTCTGTCTCGCTCCCAGCTCCCCTCAGCACTGTATTTCAGTAGATCTGCCTGTTCTACTCTACACCCTAGCTCTTGTATGCATAAATAAATGTTTAAAAATAAAACAATCCACTTTCTTTTCTTATTTACTTCTCTAGCACTTTCACCCGCAGAAAGGACACTTTCTTGTCATGATTTCCCAATGATTTGATAGGTTCTATATACCAAAAGACATTTACTAAACAAAGTGATTTGTCCATTAAAAGAATCAAAAGACAACTGCTAATCCAATTAAGTATTCCATCAGCACAAGGTAACCATGTTGCCTTACTGTCTGAGCTCAGGTGATTTTAGCCTGAAGCAAACTTTATCTTTAGTTAGAGGGTGTAGCCTAACGCTAGCGAAACTTAGATGCAGGTCATAGCAAGAACCTGATGGCTGCAGGCAATGGCCTGTCCAGCTGGGCGGTAGCCGTGCTATATGGAAAGATGGCCTCTGAACTGACAGGAGAGCCCTGTTCCTCTTCAAGGGCAGAACAGCCAGGAGCCATGGGCTCAAGTGAAGGCACAAATTACTTCCCAGCTGTGTGGCTTTCCTCACCCACTGACCCACCCAGAGGAAGCATGTGACGGGTTTGAGGGAAAAGAGAAGGATAAATAATGCCCAGGCCAGGCCCTAACTCTCTCTACCAATCTGAAGAGCAGGACAAATATTAGATGCTGGGGGAGGGAGCAGATCTGTGGGTTTTAACCCCTCTCAAGATGAGCAGCCGAAGGGCACACCCTGGAGGAGACTGACCATGGGTCCTCGTTGGCCAGGGTGGGCACGGCAGAGCCCCCAGTGCCACTGAGTTCCTGGCAGCCAGAGGGACTGGAGCGAGGACTCCCACAGTCCTTGAGGGGGAGGGGTCCAACTGGCCTTCCTGAGTACTCACTTTTGCCCATCCCTACCTCCTGAGCCAGAGCTAGCCAGGTTGTTCCGATTTGGTCACTCTGTCAACAGAGGTGTGGTGAGGTTTAAACACTCCTCCCAAGTTCCCTCTGCAGTTCCCAGTCATGGGCTAAGTGATGGGAGAAACCCTGTGAACAGAGATGGGTGGTAAATGTGTGGCTCACAGAGCTTCCAGAAGTCTGAGCTGGCTTGTTTGGGAAGGGGCAGCCGAAACAGCAGGCTTTGGGATTCAGGGGGATAATGGCTGGGCTGGGGTAGAACAAGCTGACCACTGGCCTCCAGAACATGGCTTTTGCACAGTGGGCACTGGGTGGGCGATGCAGGACTCACATAGAGCCTTGGCATGGGGCAGCTCAGGAATGGAGGGGCCAGAGCAGCTGGGTTTTGCCCAGCCTTTTGGCTGCTCTACTGAAAACCTAGCCCGAACACCTTCCTTCCCCAGCCCCAGCCTCCTTAGTCTGTTCCTTCCTTGGACAGGGTGTGGCAGAGCGTTAAGTATCCGTTCCTGGAGTTAGCACAACAACTGCTGCAACATTCCAGGGAATGTAGCCCTCAGTGGAAAAAGTGACCATAGCTCACAGAGCGAGGGGAAGAAAGGAGGCCACCGGGCTCAGCCCCGCCCTGGGCGGAGGGGTGCAGGACAAGGCAGGGTGGTTAAGAGACTGTCTGCAACCTAGAGAGATTGAGACACAAGCAGAGCCCGCAGCCCTGTGCTGAGTGAGGGGAGAGGCTCTGGGGGTGGATGGCCAGCTAACATCTCTGGGCCTCCACATGTTTCTCTGTTAAATGAACACATTAAGCAAGTGATTTTGTATTACATCGTCCATGGAGACGCCATTCAAATAATAAAGCAATTGCTCATTAGGCTCATGTTTCTTAGGCACCCTGTGGCACTATAATTACTCACAGAAGAGTCCCCAGGTACTTTAAATTTTCTAGGGAAACTTGGTGACATCTGTCATCCACTTTGCAAATAACCCTGTCAAGCTATTTGGACTTCCATGCTTAATAAAGGAACAGTTTGATATTTCTTTTGATCTAGGGGCGCTATGAAAGAAATTACTATAGCACTAGGGTGCCATCAATCTGCAAGGTTTGGGAACTATATATGATTCATCTCTGTGTATTTGCTCCCCCTTATCAAAAACAAATAAAAAATTCAGCCCTAGAGTTGGCATACAGTAGGATGCAATTATTGGATTAATGGAAAAAAAAAAAAAAAGAGTGGAACAGAGTATGTCAATGTAATGTGGAATCAGCCTCCCCCCAAAAGGCCACACAGGTTTTCCCAGAAAAGGCCTTTTCCTAATATGTGTCATCTTGGTATGTGGAACTAAGGTCAATAAGGCTCTGTGGGCCTTGGGAGAAACTGTTATCCTGACTTAAAGAATGCAGATTATTTTGAGTTAAGAGCAATGAAGGTCCTGGTAGCTAGAAACACTTGTCCTTGTCTTAGTCCAATTGTCCATCCTTTAATCACAAAAGAGCCTGCCACTCCCTAAGTGTTCACCTTTTTCCTAACTGAAGAAGCCATCACAGGTACCCTTTCTATGGCCTGGAAGAATGTGGTTTGGAGGGTACCAGCAGGTGCAGGCTGCAATGAAGGTGTCCTTCCTACCCAAGAAACTCATCTCTTTACTCTCAGAGAAGCCATCCCCTTCCTGCCCTGTGAAGTCAGCCCCTGTCTCTCCTGGAAGCTTCAGGTCCCTTCACATAGGCTGCACACCCTGGGTTTGCCCTAGTTTACTTCAGATTTTACAGTTGTGTAGATTCTCTACATGTATGTTATTAAATTTTGACTTTTTCTTCCACTAATCTCTCTGGTGATAATTTGATCATTCATCCAAGCTCAGAAGAACCCAGGGGGGTGGGGGAATGTCCCTGTGTCCCAACAGTAGCTTCACCCCATACCTCTGCCACTACATGGCGATCATGTTCCTAATCTAAATGACTTAACACAGTGAGAAATCATCTCTTCCTCCCCCCAGTAAATCTGATTTACTTTTAAAAAATACTCCCCAGTGTCTCCTCTCTGCTCTCTGCCGTGCCCGTCCTATGACTGCTTTGAATCATTGAAGCAAGCTACACAATGCCAGGGGGCACTTCCAAAAGCAGTCAGTCTTCTGTAAGCCCTTGATCTGTATAATTTATCAGTATAAACAAAGCGAAACCATGTAATCCTCTCCTCCCTTCGCCTCATCCATAGGCAAAGAGAAGTAAAACAAAAACCAGTTAGAAACTTACTCGTGGAGTCCTTTTCCTTGGAAACGTGAGATTGAGATAATTATGAGAAAAGGATGATTTAGCCAAGCCAAGGTCAGCGTTTTCTCTATAGTTTTTGCCCCAAGAATCTGTTAGAAAACAAAAGTAGAAAATTTGGATTGGTGACTTCTACCCAAGGGCTCCGCGGGTATTTGCAAAACTATTTCTCCAAAGTGATTCCCTTACCCTGAACTAAATACATAAATGGCTTGAGTAGGGACTGATGCCCTACCATGACCTCCCGGTGACCGCAACAAGAGCAGACCCACTTATACCCACAGGCCTGGGTGAGTGAACTCCACCCTTTTGCCTCCAAGCCAAAGGGAAGGCACGGGTCAGCCCCAGAACAGAGGACACCAGTGTGAAGTTCAGCCAAACATGGACACAGGGCAGAGTGGGCACAGGGCTCTCAGGGGGCAAATCCCATCCAAAAGCAGGTGCTTACCCACAGGCCTCAGCGGGGTGCCCCGGAAGAGCTCATAGAACTTGGAGAGGTACATGACCATGCTGAGCTTGTCGGGCTCCTGGACGGATGCCATCTCTTTGCCTGTGGTCACTGGGGGGATGCCAAATTCACGCTCAGCTACGTCAAATGCCAGCTGGTTGTTCTCCACAGCATCATCTTCATTCAAAGAGTCAAAGTTGCTAGAGGATCAAAGCAAGGTGAAGTTCAGGGATAGGAGACTGAGGTGTAAAGACCTGAGCAAATTTCACCTCATTAGAAGCACTCTGGGTTACACTCTTCAGTGCTGAAAGGAGGCAAAGGAGCAGTTCTCCAGCCCTGGCCCCCCATCTCACTCTCTACCCTCTGGGAAGATGCTAACCCTGTCCTTCTCACTTGGGGAGAGGCCAAAAAATCAGATTTAGTGAATCATTTTTAGGCCTGAGCTGAACCAATCAGAAAATGACTTAAAGCTCTGAAAAATTGGGCTAGCTTATTTTCTCTTAAAAATGTATCTTGTCTCCCCCCCATTTTAATTGCAACTATTAAAAATCCAGTTATGTATAACATACAACATAAAAATTGAGAGCCCCATTCCCTTCTCAAGGCAACCTCGCTTCCCAAATGTACCAGTGACAACCCCTGGGTGAGTTTCCTTTCCATCGTTTGGGCTTTCTTTCAATATCACAAGGTGCTGACACAAACATAACCTCATTGCGCAAATGCCCTGCTATTAGTCCCAATGTACAGATGAAGAAACAAACCCAGAAAAGACAAGGCAGCTAGCAGATTTGGGTCTCCAATCTAATTATTCTGGCTATAAAGTCTTCATCGTTCCTCTTTGAGGGTAGGGCTCCATGTGGTGACTGTTCAGTCCCCCAAGGGTGGTGACCCAAGGGGAGAGGAGGGGGTGCCAAGTGCAATTGCTGAGCCCGGGGCTCTTCTACCTCTCAAATACTAGGGGCACAGATCCAAAATGTTGACAGAGCAATCAGTACAATGGGAAAAGGAAAACTTAAGGAGAAACTCAGACTAAAAATATACAAAGAGAAATATTGGCCCAGGTTCTGCATCTACAGAACGGCCTTCCTTTATCTCTGGGGCTTCCTTGGACTGTGAGGGTCTTGGCTGGTCCAGCCGGAGCCCAGACTCACATAAGTTCAGGCCGGAAGCGATGGATGATAGCACAGAGGGCCAGGCCACTCCGCCAGGACGTGGTCAGGTCGGTGATGTTGACATGCTGGTAGCCCTCGGTCTGCTGCTGGCACCAGGTTAGAAGCTTGTTGGGCCGGATGTCCGACTCTGTGGAAGGGGAGACAGACAGAGATGAAGTGCTCTGTGAACAGCTCAGGCAACTCCTGGGGGATCCCCTCCAACTGCCACTGTAGTAGGGGATCAGAAGGAGCAGCATAAAGACTGGGGCTGTCTCATGGGTGCAGCCCCCTGAGGTGGTCTGTCAAACCAGGTGCGAAAAGAGAAAACTGATTAAAACTGCTCTCCTACAGCAGTTGCCAAGGCCCAGTCTGGCCAGGCCCTGGGTAAAGGGTAGGGCCTTGGAGGTAAGGAGGCTGTAGACTAATCCAACTATGCTCACGTTTTAGGAGGACATCATGGAAGCTGGTGATGCACGATGCTGCAATGGGAGCATGTGAGGGGGTTTGTCTGGAGCCCAAAGGGCAGGGGACTCTCCAAAGAAAGAGCCCCAAAGGAGGTATATTTGATACGTGTCATGAAAAATGTTTAGGAATTCATCAGGCAGAAAAAGACATTCCGGGAAAACACAAAAGACTGTATCATGGCAAAGAATCTAGAAAGACCTGCCGCGCTTGTGTGACATGATTTATGATGGGCGGCAGTGGGGCATGTAGTTTGAAAGGGAGAAGCAGAGGGTGGTCAGACTGAGTTTGCTCAGAGATGGAGGGAGGCAAGGTCTGGGCAGCAATGGCAGCCAGAGAGCTGCTTAAGCAGGACAGTGACCAAACAAAGCCAGAGGCTGACAATCACTTGTCCCTTGGCTCTGCCACTGAGCTCGGTCTTGTGCCCAGTGCTGTCTGTCAGGCCGTGGAAAATCAGGAAAAGAAGGAAGAACAAGGAGCTTGTTATCTAGCCAGGGAGACAATGCTCACAGGAAAAGCAAAAGCAAGTTCCAGTGAAATCGCCCTGCATGTTGCTCTCCTGTGCTAAGCGCAGGATGTGTATTAACTCCTCTAATCCTCACAACTCTCCTGCAGGTGCCGTTCTTGTCCTGGTTCACAAGGGAGGAAACTGAGGCACAAAGTCACAAAGGTGCCTCAAACCACCTGGAAGGCCTTCTCTCTGCAAAGCCCCTGCTAGTAGCCTGGCAGGGTCCCAGAGGGCACTTACCCCGCCTGGAGAGGTTGACGGATCTTCTCAACGAGCCCATTCTCTCAAGAGGGAATTGTTCCAGCTCCTTGGTGACATACAAGTGCTGCACCTACGCCAGAAGAGACCACACAGCTGCCCACTGTGCTCCCCCACAACCTAGTCTTGGGGCCTCTGAACCCCTCCCACCTCCTGGTCAATGTCAGCACCTTTCTCCTCTTCGCAGGAAAACGTGACTTTTGCAAGGGAAGCTGGGCAACCTGAGACAGAGCCATGGGTTGCAACTATACAATGTGGGGGCCTCCAATGTGAAAATGCCAGGCTAGTTTTAAAGATTCACCACGTTTGTGCTACTGACAGAAGAGGCTGGGGAATGGGTGACCCTGACTTAATTTCAACAGACTTAATGGGAGAAACAGTGTGCTCTAGGAGCGAGGGTAGAAAGGACTCGATATTTGGCCATTAGACACCTGTGGCTCTCCTAGAGGAGGAACTGGTCCCAGCTTTGGGCCAGGAGTCACTGGTGGCATGGGCCCCAGGGATGTGCCAAGGCTTTAGGTGACCTGCCCTTCCCACTGCTCAGCGTAGGGTGAGCCTGAAGGAGCCTCTGGGAAGCACTTACCTGATGGGGCCTGACACAGTTTGAGTTGAGGTTTGGGTACCGGGTCCCCGGATCCAACGTGTACTGTTCAAAGTTCTTGTTGATATTTTCTGGGGTCGTCTGAGGTAACAGCCGGTAGAGACTTTCTCTGGCGGGACACAGAGCCCAGAGGTGAGAGACTGTTCTGGCCTCCTCAGCCCTTTGTCCCCACCCTCCCATTCCACCCCCATTTGCCTGCTCTCAAGGGCTTCCTGGGTATGTTTGTATAACCCTTCCCTGCAATGTCTGACCCTTGTGGCTTTTGAGATCTGCAAAGTAGGGGAGGCTGGAGGGGCTACAAGGAGGTGGGAGTCTGGGAGTCCAGGAAGAAAACAGGGATGCTGAGCTGGCAGCATGGTGACCTGTGGTTTTGCTGTAACCACCTCTCAGCCACATAGCCTCCTGTGGCCTGTCCCCCATGACCACAGGCCTCCACACCCAAGACTAGCAAAGGCCTGACCCCACCCTCCAGCTCCAGCTTCTCCCAGTCCACCAGCAGTCACCGCCACGTGGCCAGCAGGAGGGGTCTGGGAGGAAGTCCAAGAGCTCAGCAGGGGAAGAGGCCTGCGAGGTGGAGTTGAGACAGCAAATGTGCAACGCTGCAGAGGAAGCCTCTCTTAAATAAACATTGGACTCCTGGGTGACCGAGCAGTGTGGGAACCCCAACTTTAGGGCACCCCTGATGAATATTTCTCTGGCATACAGGACCTAAGTCACTGAAAGAGGTATAAATCATGATGCAGAAAACTTCCTTGGAGAGCCTGATGATCAAATCAGGCCACATGTGCGATGGCAGATGAGGGAGACAGAGACTCCAGGCTCATTCAGGAGGCACCTGCCAGCTAGTCTCACCCTCTCCTGCTTAAACTTTTTACCCAGCCCTGCCCCCAGCAAAGAGCTTGCTTTTAATCTCACCTTTCAGCCAGAAGTTTCAGGGGTGGAGTGCCCTGGTGCCAGCTCTTTACCATCCACGCTGTGTCAAAGGCTGCCAGGAAACCTCGGGCACAGCCTGTGCCCATGGGCCAAAACGGCTGCAAAAGGAAGCACCTGAAATCACGCTCAATTCTGATAACCTCCAGCCTGCTGTGCCATGCTATCCAGCATCGCTGATTGCCAGGCCCTGCAAGGCACTCGGGGAAGGGGGAATGGGCAGTGGCAGGGAAGCAATGGGGGCAGTTCACTAGGATGCACCACAAACACAAATAGTTGCAGCGCAAGGTCATATGGAGAGGGTGCATTGACAGGAATAGCAACTCTGCTTTTGAGTCCAAAAAAGGCAGAGGCAGATTCCCACCCTGGGGGGAGGGAGATGGAAGCCAGGCAATGCTTCATAAGAGAACTGCACTTATGCGGACTTTAATGAATAGATAGGAGTCTGATCTGGATCCATTCAGAAGTGGTGTGGGCAAAGACATGGTGGCCAGAAAATGATGGAGCCTGATGGCAGAACTGGGGAGAGAGAAAGTTGAGGAGAGGGACCAGGACAGAAGGCATGTGTGCTGAGTATCTAACCCAGAGGGCTGAGGTGACAGGAAAAATGGTGAGGAAGGACAGTTCACCAAGCCAGGATCTTGCTAAACTGTTCCACAGGCACCTACCACAGGGTTTGTAATTTAACTCTTACTTGGGAGAAATGCATAAACACTTTTTGGTTAGTGCTTACATTAAAGAAAAATATTTATCCCTTCTGAAAGCATTCATTTAATATAAGGATCCTTCCATTTGTAGATTTTCCGGGAAGAATTTTGAGCAGGGAGGCCATGGGCAAAAACTGGACTTTGGGGCTCACTTTCTCATATCCTATTTGATCTGCATGTTGAGGCTGCACAGTCACTCACATGAAGACAAAGTCATGGCCCAGCTGAGGGTCTTCTTGTCCTGAGAAGGATGGCCCACCTAATTTTGTATTTCAACAGACAGTTCAGCCCAGAACCACCCAGAGGTGGAAGGGAAAGTTCTCCTGCCTACTCAGAGTTAGGACTGGCTCCTCTGAACTTAGAGGAAGGGCAGGTCTGAGACTATGATGGGCTTGGCACAAGCCTGCCAGCTGGCTATGAGCCTATCCTTCCCATGCTACGTGACAGCAGATGCTGCCAGCCATTACAAATGCAGGTACCAGTCTCCTATCTGGAGCCAGAGGGTTCTCGATGCAGGCAGTACCTCGAGCAAGCTGTCGCCCACCAGGGCCACGAGCAGCTGGTGTGACTGACGCTCGCGCACCAGGGCTGCGTTCTCTGAGGCGTACATGGAGGTGAAGTCGAACATGGCCACGTCTGGCTGCCCATAATGGTTCATGGCAAAGTCTAAAGATGGCAGCTGATAATTGGTGGCGAAGTCTGCTGCTTCTCGGGCGTAGGCAAGCAGGTTGTCCTGGTTCACATTATCTGCACACAGCAGTGCCTCTGTGTCGATGTAGTCCTGGGGGGAGAAAACGGAGCATAGTGGGGCAACCTACTTCCCACTCCCAAAGTATTCATGCCCACTTTGCAAAAGGACTTGGAATGGGTTTGAGGAGTAAGACTAATCAAAACAGAAAAAGATGAGGGCCAATGAAAAAAGAGGAACCAAATCTGCTATCTATGAGGATTAGCAGAGTTGTGATTAAGCATCAGTTTGAGCTTCCTGGCACCCAAAGGCAAAAGGGAAATGTGATATATTACAGACTTTCCTTATCAGAAAGAAGGAAGCATAGACATTCCATTGGGGAGGCATTTTTTTTTTTTTTTCCTGGCACAAGAATCTAAAAGAATTGCCTCACATAGGAATTTCGACAGAGAATATTGTATTGTAAAAAGCAGCACTCTCAAAAACAGTCTCGCCACAAATGTGGAATAGTAGTTCACATAGCTGGTTCTCATGATAACCTTCAGTCAAATTCAAAGACAAAAGAGCAAGTGGAAAAGTGACTTCATGATGGATTAAGCTAAGCTAAGGTGATCTAGATAATGCTGTGTTTAATAGTCAAATGAGACCAGAAGAGAAACATGCACTTGGCACAAATCTCAAACTTCCTCTCTGAAGTCGATAACCTTTTCTCTATAGACTGAGGGGGGCTACCCGGGTGGCTTGTTTTAATCTCAAGACTGTTAATGCTCACACCTTCCTGGTAGGGACAGAGACCCCTGACCTTGGAGGTCCGGGACATCCATCCCGGAGGACACTGGTGATGAACCATCGTGGGTCTCTCAGAGTCAAACTGGTGTATCAGATTTGAAAAAAACATCTTTCGCCAAAAGTGACACAAAACTGCAGAGAGGTTGGGGGTGCAAAGGCCAGTGAGAGAGGGATGAGTGTGTAACATGAAGAAAGGCTTTGGGTCCCCAAGAGCAACAAGTCAAAGTCTGCCTCTGCTGTTCACTGACCACACAGATGTAGGCAATGCTGCACCCAAGTCTCAGTTTTCTCACTTGTAAAATGAGAATAATAAAATCTACTTCACAGAACCATGTGAGAGCAGAATCCTGGCCCTACATGGGACACACGGGAAGTGCTCAGTGAAAGTGAATTCCTGTCCCCACTAATTTGTGATGGCACAAAATACAGCAGATGGTGAAATGCAACCACGATGCCAGAAAGCACATTTACAAAGGCCTTAGAAGGCACAGTCGCATCTGCAAGTGAAGTGACCTACTCTGTCAATTTCCCCAAAAGTCATGACTACAAATACCTCGTTCCGTCAATTCTAAGACTTGCACACCTGCTCCTGGAATCACCTATCACTTCCTTCCCCAGAAGGTATGGAAAGGAGATGGGAAAAGTGAATAGAGAATTTCAAAAACACCCTCTCTTCACAGCAAGCCCCGAGGTGGCCCAGGTGACAGTGAATGTGAACCCTGTCCCGTTCGATGGAGGCAGCGCCTGCTGCTCATGCCCCAAGCGGGAGTGCAGGGACCTAGAAAAGGGGGCAGGCTCCCAGCTGTGGAGATTGCCCACCTGGCCTGAGGCTGCTGGGAGGAGCCAAGAAGCCTTATGTGGTGGGAAGTTCCAGACGAGTGATGGCTGTGTAGATGGCAGAGAAAGCAGAACTTAGGAGGGGTGAGAACTAGAAGGAAAAAAGTGGAAATGGAACACTAAGTGAAGTGGGCCAACCCACTGGAACTGGTCCTAAATTGAGATAAAGACAGGGATGGATGTGGGCCACATTTTCCACAGGCCTGAAATCCTGAAGAGAAGCTGGATCCTAAACAGAAAGGTGGGACAATGAAGAGCGGTGCAGCAAAACTGAGAAGTAATCTAATTGGAAAAATAGCCCAAATACGGAGCTGGAAAGAGACTATAGACGGGAAGAGAAGGTCAGACATGTGAGATGCTTTAAATAAGGGCAGACTCTGCATCAAGAGGGCTCCCTGGTGGCGCAAGGGGTTAAGTCTCAGCACTATGAAGCTATCAGCAGCCACTACAGCATGAGTTCGATCCCCAGCCAGTGAGCTGACCCACATATGGTGCATCAGACCTCTCCTGTCTCTCCTGCTGCTCCCCTCAGCAGTGTATTTCAGCAGATCTACCTGTTCTGCTCCCCACTCTGTCTCTGGTGAATCCTCTCACCCCTCTCTCCCCTACCCCCTACACCTCTGGCCTACACCCCAGCTCTTGTATGCATAAATCTTGAAAAAAAAAAAAGCCAGGTATGATTGCATCTACTCCAACACCTAGCAGTGGTGCTCATTCCCTCCTGGTTAGACCAGGTCTGTTGCTCCAGAAATCCTACCCTGCATGTGTGTGGGCCAACAGAGGCAGGGTTCCCGGGGTAAGGGTCACCCTCAATGGTAGGGAGAGAAAGATAGACACGGGTAAGAGCCCAGAGGCACCATGGCTTTTTGAGGATAGATTTTACTGCCCCTACAGTAACCACAGAAAGAAGGCCAGAGATCAAGAGGAATAGCTAGAGAAGCAGATAAATCTCTCTCCAGAGGTCAGTCAGTCATTCAAAAAACATCTCAGTACCTTCCATGCGTAGCTAAAAGATGCTGACCCATAGAGAGAGAGGAAAACAGAGAGACTTGCCATTCCTCCAGGACTAGAGAGGAACAAAAAGTTAAGTGGCTCAAGCCAGGTGGGTCAGCCAGCTCCTGGTTTATGCAAATGCTATAGAGCTTGGTGGGACATAAGGAGGTTCGGGTCATAGCTCTTGAATCAAATGGGGCCCCATTTCTCATGTCCAGCCTATGGCTTCTCATGGCTGCACTAGAGTTCCTGGCTTATACAGAGAGGCCCCGCAGCACCATCTTGGAGGATGCTCCCAGAATATCTAAGGGAGAAGGAAGCCTTTTGTAAGGACAACCAAGGGCCCAGCTCCTCCACAGTCATGACGGGAGCAGAGATGGTCATTTTTGTCAACCTGTGTCATGACAGAGAGCCTGAGACAGGAGTACAGAGGGGCTTTGACAACTGCCAAGGAATCAACTTGCCATGAGCATTTTGCTGCCTAGACAATGTTCTGGGGTGACCCGATGGAACCTTAGCATCCCAGAAGGCTGGAGTACTTGGTAAACAGGAAGCACAAGTCAGACTTTGCTGGCCATCCCAGGTGTGGGCTGACAAGAGCTTCCCATGTCCCTCCTCTGCAAAGATGCCCACTGCACGTGCACCTCTGGATGCCCAACAGTCCTTCACTATTGCCTCAGGTATCCCCAGAGAGAGGAGGCAACTTTGGGAAGGATGTCAGTGGAGCAGGAAGAAGGGGCCACTGCACCATTGATCCAGTCAGTGGTGGGGCCCTGAGTGTTAAAGGCCACTGCTCACACATCAGGTGACTGCTCAGTCAGCTCCATCCCACCCTTGCACCCCTCCCCCCAATCATAGTCCATCCAGCAACACAGGCTCTCAGCAAAGACCTGACCAGTGGAGGAGGCCCAGTGAGGGCTAGGTTACTAACACCATCTGGCTGGCTGCCAGGACAAGCTGGTGCGAAGATAGGCACATTCTTCTCTGACAAGCAGCAATGAATGGTCACCATGCTGCCTGGGCCATGGCCACCTCCCAAAGTGCACACTGACCTCAGTCAGCATGATCCTTATCTTGAAGCTACAGTGGCAGCAGCAGCAGTGTTAGGAACAGAAGTTTGGAAGGGCTGAAAACCCAACCGGAGAAACTTCCAGCCCAGGCCCCACCACTCCATGTTTTCCTTCCTCCCAACCCTCTTTGCTCTCGAAGTATGAACGATGCTAAGGCAGGAAGCAGAAGCCAGGAGACCCACGGAACCAAAACACTGGGTCCAAACAGGCAGAAACATTCCAGAGAGAAGCTACAAACTCACTAGGTGCTCTGAATATGTGTTTTGAATTTATTCCTCTGAATAACCCCTTCAAAAAGAAACTATTTTTCCTATACTGCAGATAAGAGGACTGAGGTTCAGAATAACAGTCCTGAGGTCATGCACAGCAGAGCCAAGATATCATGAGTCTTTTTGACTATAAGAGTAAAGAGCTTTCCCCCCATATATGGCAAGAGGCCAAGTGAGGGTGGCCATGTGACCCACCTGAACAGGGGGCCCTCACTGGCCTCCAAGTGACAATGACCTCCCAGAAATGGCTGAATGAGATGTTGGGAAGGAAAAGACTCGCTGATCTCTGGGGGTAAAGACAACCAGCTGGGTGAGGCTTACTCTCCCTCTCCCCAGCCCCCCAACACCCAGCTCTCTGCAGAAACAGCACAGTGTAATTACGGGAAGAGGGGACCTTTAGCCAATAAGAGGGAAGGAGGTGGCAGGGGTCCCTTGCCGCTCCCTCCTTGCTCAGTTCCTGGCAGGACGACAGCTGTGCCCACATGTGCAGGTGCTGCCAGGTCACAAACGAAAGTCAGCTAGGAAACCACAGCTGAGAGACACGTACATTAATGATGACACCTTTGTCGAGCAGGCTCTGCTTCTTGGCGGTCATGACAAAATAGTGGGTGGAGTCCTTGTAGTAAACAATGTTCTCAAGATCAATCCCTGAAAAGAGAAGCACCAGGGAGTCAGTGCTACTTCCTCAGTGCCCGCACTGTGCCAGGAACTCTACCGTGCCTCATTATAGGTCTCACAATTCACCTGCAGCATATTCATGGGAGGGTAAGTCTCTCAGACATACAAGTCTGGCAGAGATAAAACCAACTGCTAGAATTTACCCAAGTCAACCCAGCTAGCTTTTCCAGTCCTACAAAGGCATTTTTTTAAGTTTTTATTTTATTTTTTTTAAAGATTTATTTATTTTTACACAAGAACCAGGGTACAGGCCAGATACACGGGAGGGTAAGACTATTCACTGGAGACAGAGTGGGGAACAGAACAGGCAGACTGAAGAAATACAATGCTAAGGGGAGCAGTGGGCGAGACAGGAGAGTTCTGCTTCACCATGTGGGGTTATCGCCAGTTGGCCGGGATCGAACCCGTGCTGCAGAGGCTGTAGACAGTTTCACAGCACAGCCCTCAACCGCCTGCTCCACTAGGGAGGCCCACCACATTTTTTTTTAAATTGAGATATAATGTTTCAATATGTTTCAGAGGTACAAGATGCTGACTTGATAGATTTATGCACTACAGATTTAAGGCACTACTTTTAAAAATTGTAAAGTTGTGGGCCTCCCTGGTGGTGCAAGGGTTAAAGTCTCAGTGCTATCAAGCTATCATCAGCCACTGCTGCAAGAGTTCAATCCCCAGCCTGGGAGGAAAGGTGGCAGGGGCCCCAGTTGGTGCAGCAGACCTCTTCTGTCTCACTCCCTGCTCCCCTCCGCAGTGTATTTTAGTAAGTAGATCTGCCTGTTCTGTTCCCCACTCTGTCTCTGGTGAATGCTCTCACCCCCTGCATTTCTGGCCTACACCCCAGTTCTTGTATGCATTTAAAAAAAAATAAAACTTTAAAAAAAATTGTAAAGTTGTTTGGGGTTGTGGGCCAGTGTTTCCAGGTTAGAGTTCAGTGAGCACTGCAGAAAGGCAGAGTGCTGCCCCAGGGTAACAGGCCTATCTCACTCAAGTCCCACCCACCAAGCTCTCCAAGCCAGCGATGCATGGAGACACACATGAATTCCCCAGACTAAGAATGTTTTCAGCATTGCCTTATTGTGTGTAAAATCCCAGATTCCATGGGAGGAAAAACTCAGGTTAAGGGCTGCGTGGTATCTTCCTGCATTCTCCACCACCTGCAAAACTCTGTATAGACTAGGTTTCTGCATTTTAAACAATGCCTGGGAAGATAGTTTAGCTTAGTTGTTTTCAAAGGTGGATTCCACAGTCAGCAGCAGCAAATCACATGAGAAATGATCAAAAATGCAAATTTTAAGCCCCGCCCCTCCCTCCCTGAGTCATACTAAATGGGAAACTGGGGGTATGGCCAGGAACCTGGGCTTTAACAAGGCCTCCAGGTGATTCTGATTCACGTTCAAGTTTAAGACCTGCTGGCTGAACTTTGTGGGGCAAGGAACAAAAACATAGCAACTTACCAGCAGTCAACACAGAGGCGTGCTGGGTAACCACAGGAACCCCTTTTATTACCATTAAATAGGAAACAGGCTTCGAAGCAGAGGGCCCCCCAGAGAATTAGAGGAAATTCATCTCTGTCACTGTGTGAGGGGCACTGTTGCGAAACAATGACCAAAGGTGACGACCACAGCAGAGTTTAAAGGAAGCTCATTGAAACATTTGGGAAAACACACTCAATATCCTGCCATGATTTATATTTGGTGACTTAAGTATTTATTTTCTTGGTTTTTGAGGGGAAGAGAGAGTTGGAGAATTTTAAATCATCTAGAAGGATATAATATGCTGGAAGGAAAGTATTTAAAAAAAAAATGCAACAATGGTGAAACCCAAAGGGTCATTCAATGGACACACGTTACTGTGATCAGCCAGAGGCAGAGCCTGCTCGGTAACTGATCCCGTTCCTAGAAAACTGTCTTCAAGAAGTAATCCAACAGAGGCAGTTTTACCTGTAACAGTAAGTAACTGACAGGTCTAAATCAGAGCAAACTTTTTCTGTGAAGGGCCGAGAGTAGACATTTGGGGCGTTGTGGGCCACTGGATGTGTGCCACAACTACTCAAGGTCAGAGTGGTCCTAGGCAAAGGGCATGGCTGGGGCTCAAGAAATCTGGTTTGGGGAGGGGGAGAAGAGACAATGAAATATGAATTTCATGTTTCCCAATTTTCATTTGTCACAAAATATTCTCCTTTTGATTTTCCTTTAGCCATTAAAAAATATTAAAACTATTCTTAGCTAGAAGACAATACAGAAACATGTGACCCACTATTGTCGCCAGTCCCCAGTGGCACGCCTAGGCAGTGGCCATGCGTTCATTTAATGCCCACGTGGCAGCCCTCCAAACATTATCAGGGGTATGAGATGGTGAAATGGCCAATATTTAAAATGTGATGCTAATGAGAAAAGCAGAATAACTAAGCTACTGGCACTCAGATGAGAACTGGAGCCATGTAAGAGAGAGGGTGCCGGTGAAAAATCACCAAAAAGGGATGTACCAGAAAAGAGGACTATTCCTGTGCTAGGTGATGCTGGGTGTGGATGAGTTATTTTTACTATAAAGATTTTATTTAATATTATTGTTACACTGTCTTTTCAAGGTGACATATGTGTATTTTTAAATCGGGTTAGAAGAAAGGAAAAATCTGGAATTTACTAAACTAGGGGCAGGCATTTCATCCCCTGTCCCCCTCACCTGCTTTATGTTTCTCCAAGAATCCTCATGACTACCTGACTTGCTACTTGTTTTTTTGCTTATTAGGGGTCTCCTACCATAGTAGGCATTGAATCAAGACCAACTGCTGGTAGCCAAAGGATGCCCTGAGTGAGTGTCATGCTCTCTGGACATCACTCATGGGGAAGGGCAGCTGGCACACCGCATAGTGCACCCCAGCTTCTATGGGGACAACACATAGGCTATTCGCTCCCTCCTCAGAGGACTCCCTGAATCTCACTGACCTCTGTGTAGACGGGCCATCCTGTGAGGATGACTCCTTGCTGCACAGCAGTCACTATGGGAGGCGACCATCTCAACCCTGACTTTGTATCCCAGGGTACGTGGTACGGAGTACTGTACATAAGGGTGCTCAGCTAATGTCTCCAGAGTAAATGAATGTGGGTTACAAGTCTCAGAACTGACAATTTTTTTTTTTTAATGCCTGGCTGAAGCTCTGATGGCCGCGGCATTATAGCAAAGAGGGCTAACACTCGGTCAGCTACAGGGCCAAACAGGAGCCAGGCTGCCTCCCCCACTCAGGATCCTTTTGAGGGATGATCTTAGTGGAGTTAGATAACTGGTCAATTGGGACTGACTTGTTTTTCCTTTTTCCTCTTTGTCTCTTTTCCCAAGTTTTAAATTCCTACTCTTAAGACTTAAAGTCATCAAGAAAAGTCAGCCTGAGAATGGTCCTCACCGTCAGCCCAATAAAAGCCCACCTCAGTCCAGTATGCTCACACTTAACCACTTCTCCTCCCTACCCCCTTCCTATCTACTGGCAACCTCACTGTGGCCCAGGCGTGCTGTATAATTTGAGGTCTTGTATATAATAAATCTCTATTTTTAAGTTTCCTTATGTTTTTTGCTGAAGGGCATCTTGCCATCACAAAATGTACCTGGAACCTGGTCCAGTCGTAATATTGGGGGAAAGTCTTTGGGGAGCTTAGCTAGGCCCAGGTGAGTGACCACACACATTTCTAGTTAACAATATTATTAATAGGCTAAGATGGACACAAAATGTTAATGTATAATATGTGCAAAACGTTTTCATGTACAATATCCAGAACTTTCCCTTAAGCATCCCTCTTGCCCTTGAAGGAATCCTGCCCATGGTAATCCTAAGAAGAAACTTCTGCTTCTGCTGTATCAGAGTGTATCTCCCGGGTCCAAGATCTGGGAAAGCCAGCTGCTCCTCAGAACACTTTAGGAACATGGGCAATCGCCTGGTTTGGAGAAAGGTGAAGGTCCCACCTGTTTCTTCTTTAAGGTCCTGAAAAAACTTCTGATTGAAGATGAAAGCCACACCACTAATCTCTTCCACCTTGGCCTCAGCTGTGCTGTTTCTGTTTATGAAGTTGGCAGTGATTGCAATGGCCAGCTTCCCACGGAATTCTTTTCTTCTGAACCCTGCATGAAGAAAAGCGGGAAAGTGGGTCTTTCTTCTGGATTTGGTGGGAAAACTGAAAGTGATCACTGAGAAAGCTATTCTCAGACACCCCACAGGTCAGCGAAACAAGAAATCCTGATCTCTAAAGAAACAGGGACAGGCAGAAATGTCAAGTTTTGTAATTGGGAAGAAACATGTCATCAGAGACCTTCCAAAGTCAGTGGGACTTCCTCCTTTTCCCTAAAACCTATAAGGAAATTACCCTGGTTAGGCTTTGACAGACAAAATACTAATTCAATTTTTTCCAGCGGGGCTCATAGTATTGAAGATGTGTTGGGTATTGTTGCTAGGAACTCAGGAAAGACCCAGTACACTGTAAATCTATGCGATTAAAACGGCTTTGTTACATTTTTCATGTTTTTTTCACCCTTTGAGAAGTAGGACTATGAGACTGAATTGCTATGGAATAGAGATTTTTAACAAATATTCTATCTCCAATCCCCAGTGACTGGCACTGAGGACACATTCAATAAATGTATAATGAATAGATGGAATTCTGATTTGCAACTTAGTACAGTAATTCCTTGGAGAAGTTACAGCTTTTAATGGTCGACATAAAATTTGATGTTAAATGTCACTAAAAATTCTGCACCCAATTACAATGTGGCTTTTTTTTTTCTGTTTTCCAAAAAAGCAATTACCGACAAGCAATTCTTGGACACCAGCTGGGTGTCCTACTATTCAACTTAATTTCTAAACTGTCTAAGTGTCTAAGTGTAAATGCGGGACCGGTTCGCTAAGAGTCACAAGGCAACAATAATATTTCACCTTTATGGCTCTGAAGCAATTTCAAAAACCAAGGACAAGAGACCAATATAACACGGAAAAACAAACATAACAAAATGATGTTCTCATTGCTCTTATTTCTCAAGAAATTCCAAAGGTTTTGGGACCTCTGGGCCAAAAAAGGAATGAAGACCAAATATATAGCTCTTATTATAAATGACACAGAGACTTGAAGGCAGGCAGTCACATTCCACTGGAACCATGTTCTTCTAACGCCCTTTCTTCTTAGCACGTAGTCTGAATTTTCACTCTGCCCCAGACACTGTTTACTTTGCTTAACCCAAGTCCCTCCCCACACAAACAGATTTGCTGGACATGGTCTTTCTATGCAGCCACCTTTGGGGATTCCCCTCACATTTGCTCAGCACATACTGGAACCCCATGCTGATTCCCAACATCTTTGTCAAAAATCCCTTTGACTGAAAACCTTGGGTTTATTCTCAATACCCCCTCCTCCTTTAAGTCTCCATTAAATCTTTGTAAAAATGGTCTGAAATTGTTCTCTAGTCTATATATTCAAATGGGGGTGATCTCCTCCCCCAGGGGACATTTGGCAACATGTCATAACTGGGGCTGCAACTGCTGTTTAGTGGGCAGAGGCCAGGGATGCTATTGAACATCCTACAATGCACAGGGTGGCTGCCATGACAGAATTATCTGGCCCCAAACCTCAAAGGTGCCAATGTTGAGAAACCCTGCTCTAGTCTGCTGGTCTGGTCCCAAGTTGTTCAGATCCTACTCCTGTTCCCCCTTTCTCAGACCCAAAGAGTCTTCACCTTCCAGTGTGTTCCGGCGGCCATCGGCACCAATGATGACATCAAATTCAAACTCTGAGAGAGAGTGGTCTGCAGGAAGAAATTCTGCCCGCCAGCCGATTTCTAGAAAAATGAGATGAATTGGCAAATGAGAGGTGGGTGAAGAAAGTGATCATACCCCAGCTGTGTTGGCTATGAGACATGGACAATACTACCAGGTGCACAGGCCCCAGATGGACCCTACAGAAGAGGGCCTGGAGCAGTGCTGATTCACAGCTCTAATCTGGAGCCTGTCTGGCTTTACTACTAATTCATCCCAGGATGGGTCAACCAGCACGCCAACTCCATGCCTGGTTTTACTGGTTTCTATAAAGACTGGGAATCTTTCCTCAATGATTCTCAAACCTTATTTTTCTCAATGAATTCTACCATGTTCTCTTCATATTCCTCCACATTCCTCAGTGCCCTCCCATTGCTAAACAGGCCCCAAAAATGTGCAGGGCATCATAAAACCTGTCTAAATTCCTGCTTCAAAATGTTCGATTGCACAGTACATAGCCCTTTTATGAGACCATTTTGGGGTGAAACCACACTGGCCACTCATAATTAGGAGTATCATCCACCAGAGGTTCAGGAAAAGTAAACACACACAGGTCTCTGAAAGTCAAATAGGGAAGCTGTGCTGTTACCAAACCAGCCAACACCTCTCCTAAATTCTCAAATATTCTGGGCAGAGGACAGGAGAAATCAAAACTGCAACCTGCACATGAAACGACTTGGGCCTAAACTGAAAGCCCTATCCAGAGAGAAGATTTTATGAATAAGTTAGTGGCAACGGCATCATGAACAAACTCCATGACTGTAGTATGTGTAAAAGATCAAGATTTATACAAATGTACTGAGAGGAAAAAAGAAAAATTAACTAAAACATGCACTGGGTGAATTTTATGCATTCATTAATTGCACTTCAAAAAATTTTTGAAATATAACATATCAAATCATATCTCACCTTTGTTCTAGAAGCTTCACTTTCTTTCCTGGATTTTAAGCGATCATCTGGCTACAAGTATATCTACCTATCCATGTGTGCTCACATACAGCTTGAAGAGCATGTGAATGAACTTCATCAACCAACCAAAGTTATGTCTTCTGTTCTGCTGACTGATTAGACATCATTGGTTAAAGAACCATCTCCTAGTGATGGGTTAATCAAATTACAGGCTTAATGACTTAATAAATCCCTTGGGAGCTGAGAAACAGATCTAAAGTGATGGTCAACAAAGGTCAAATATCCTTTGATGGAATTATGCCAAACAGCTCCTACTAAGGATACCTCTTAGAGAAACATCCTCTGAGAGCTGCATATGTTCTTTGCATTCTGCAACATCCCATTTCTAGACATAAAGGAAAGTTATACTGTACTTTGATTTTCTTGATCTTCAGGAGGCTCTATAACCTTCACAAACTCCACATTCACATGGATTTCAACTCCCAACATCAGAGCTACCTTGAATAGGATGAGCTGCAACTGACGAATGCCTGTTAGGAAGAAGGAGGAAGAGAGAGAAACTCTCAGTAGCAATGCCTGATAACAAGGAATACTATATAATCACTGCTCAGTGACCATGGGTATAATAATATGATTATTATACATAATAATAATCATATTATTATACACAGTGATTGTTATTGAGAACTAATTACATGCCACATAGTCTGTTTTTTTAAATTTAACACAGTTACCCTTTGGGACAATCTCATTTAATAAATCAGAAATTTTGAGACTAAGTGAACTGTTCAAGGTCACACAATAGCAAAGTTAGATGTGGCCCCAGATGTGTCTGATTCTGAGACCGTGCTCTAGTTGTTAGATAATGCTATACTGATAGAGGCTCCCTTTTTTGCTGCCTCTTTCCTGAGGTGGGATGTGGGTTTGATACGATAAACATGGAAGGAGGAAGGCAAGGGAAGGGTCATGAGTTAAGTTAGTGATCAAATGGCTTATTATGTGGGAGACTATGCCTAAGCTCTCAGTCATCCATCCAAAGTAAGGGGCAGAGTGGGGAACACTCCCCACAAAGCTGACTCATGGTCCTCTACCTCCTTCCTACTTCCTAAACTTTCCCAACGAGTGGCACCTCATTTCCCTGTCTCCTGCCATTCTGCACAAATGGGTATGCCTCCAAATATTTGACTGCAAAGTGAAAGGATGAAACTTTCTGTGGTTCCATCTGTCTTTAGTGGGGTTTGTTCATTTAACATGTTTGCGCACCTCCAGGGGGTGAGGTTCCCTGGTGGCCTAAGAGATATGGGACACACTATCTAGAGGAGGAGACACAGGTAAATACAGTGGGGCAGGGTGCAGTGCTTGGGGGCATGGGAGTGGCAGGAAGGGCCTGGGCAGCAGTCCTGGAGCCCAGGAATACCAAATACCAAAGCCCATGGGGAGATGAAGGAATATAAAGCCTACAAGAAGCCAGGGCACTTGGGTGTTAGGAAGCTTTTGGAGACCTTGGTGAAAATCTCTTTAGCAAGATGGCGGGTAAGAAATCAGACTGCAATGGGAGGAGGTGTGAATGGAAAATACAAAGCCTACCTTTCTTCTGTCTAGAATAAATACTTTGCAATAAAGTGATGGGCAATGACAGAGGGGCAGTGTGGGGGAGGAAAGATGAAGACTAGTAAAGGCAGGTGACTATGAGGGAAGGAACTAGACAGAGAAGAGGCCAACTGTGCCTCTGGCAGAGGGTGAGAGAAGGAGTGGCACTTGGGTGGAGGTGAGAGGAGCGGAGGAGGAGGGAGGCCATCTGCTGAGAACAAGGAGGCTGTGGTGGAGGTTGGGAACAGGCGCGGTGGGAACTGGAGGCGGATGCTGACACAGGGCAAGTGGAGAACTGTTGAGCAATGTGGAGGATCAGAGCACAGCTGGTGCTGGAGATGATGGTTGGTCTGAAAGGAAGCCAATCAGCTGGGGCTTAAAGAAACCAGTGTACCTCCTGCACGGACACAGTCCTCCCAGTGGGGGCCCAGCCTCACCTCTTGGTTTCAAGGCTTCATCTGTCTGGTTTCTAGACATAGCAGGTGCTCAATAAATCTCCCCTGACTCCCTTTATCACAGGTATTGGAACTGTCCTTGATAATGATCCTCTGAATGCTTGAATCTCACCTCCAGAGTTCTGCCAGAGATTGTGCACACAGATATTTCCAAGGACTAGGAGTTAAATGAGAGGGAGCCCCAATAATGGTGCAGAGAGGGCCTCCTGGCTGGGAAGGCAGCCCAGCCACCCCAGGACCCTCTCCAGGGCACTTGGTGCCCAGGTCTGCCTCTCGGGAGGGCTTGACGGGAATGTGCTCAATGTTGTCATCCTACATCAGTAACCAGCATACACTCTTCTGTGGTTGGTAGAAATATTCTAAAAGCTGACATTGCAACTTTCTGCACAAATTCAAATTCCTTCCCAATGGACTTCTGGAATTTTCTCATCCCAAAGCAGGAATAAACCGTGCGGCCACTGCTAGTAAGTTCCTCTGCATCTGGCTAAATTATACCCTGTGTGGCTGATAATTCTCTCCAGTCATTCCTGCCTAAACTCCACACACTTTTCCCATCAGTTCTTGTCCATAAGAACTTGGCTCTCAGAGCTCCCTTCCCCCACCCATGGGTTGAGAGACTGCAGCGATAAGTTCTGAATTCTGGGGACCCTGGCTGCTTCTCGTTCACTGTACAACATTGTATGCAAAGCATTTCCTGAGTACCTACTACCATCAGGCACATCCCTAGGCACATTAGAAACTTGACATCATTTAATCCACTCAGCAATCCTGGTAGGCAGGTATTAGTCATATTTATGGGAGACAAAACAGGGCTTGAAGAACGTAAAGAATTTGACCCAAGTCCCACAGAAAAGGGACAAGACAGTTTTTGGATCCAAATTTCTTCAAACACTTGAATTTTCCCCATGGCATTAGCCTTCCTGGCTTTTAGGGGTCATGGCTGCAATATATATAAGGCAGTTAAAGACCTCCTCAGTATAAAGTTGCTGCTCTCCCAATCCCATCGGACACATGTTGCCTGGAGAGACCCAGACTCCAGTAGTGTCGGAGCAGAAGGGCCTGGGAGCTCACCTCGCCCAACCTCAGGACCAGGGATGGCTTATGACCACTCTCGATTTCCCCCAACTCCCTCACCCATCTACATGACCCCCCACAGAGATGCTTCTCTCCTTCTGAAACTCTAGGAAACTTGGAGCAGATCTGTCAGCAGTGTCATTTTCTGTTCTAAAACCTACCATGGGTAGTCAGAACTGGTAACACAAGGCCCAAACTCTGCCTCAGAGGCGCTGAGAGCCTGGCCTGCCTCTGAATTCTAACTAGGGTGACAGACTCTACGAAAGCACACTTCATTACTGACAAAATTTCGGTGAGTTCTGAGAGGGCCAGCTACATGACTTACCTCTGCCTGTTTCCCATCTTTCATTCATTCACTCAGTGGAAATTTATTGAGCATCTACTATGTGTCAGGCACTCTTTTAACCCAGGAGAAATAACAGTGAACAAAACATGGGGCACCTGACCCCCTCAAACTTGCTACGGCCTCAGGGGACATGGCTTGGAGTCAGGTGCTAAAAAGGCCTTCACTAAATGCCTGCCAGCTGGATGTGTAGCCCCCCAGAGACTCACAAGGTGGACCATCCTGAGGACTCCTCAATGTGGGGAGATATCTCCAGAGTCAGCCCCACCCCACATGGGGTGCCACTGTTGGCGCTACTCACTGATGTGATCGATGGAGCCAGCACAGAATTTCCCATAGAACTTCTTGGCTCCCAGGCCTCGCAGGTCATGGATGGTGAATGGCCAGAGGTGCAGCACATTGTTGCGGGAGAAGGTATCCCTCTTCTCTACCACGACCACTTTGGCCCCCAGGTAAGCAAGTTCAATGGCAGTGCGCAAACCACAGGGTCCTCCTCCAATGATGAGACACTGTAAAGGTGAGAGAGGAGGGAGAAGCTGAGTGTCATCTAGTGTTGTAGACACAACCCCCTAGTCAGTGGTTATCAGTTGCTGCTTTGTTGCTCGTGCTTTGGGTGTCATACCTAAGAAATCATTGCAAGGTCACAAAGATGTGCCACAGCTTTGGAAAAAAAAAAAAACTATCTGACTCAACAACCCTAGCAGTGGGTGGAGCAAACCATCATGCACCAAATCAACCAGCAAGTGCCAACTGACACCTGTCTGGGCCTGTCATTCATCCATCTTTTGTTGGTTTACTGCCTACTACATACCAGGCATGGTGGCTAGTCCTGTGAGGGTCATAGAGTTAAAGGGACTCAGGTGAGGTGGGGGTGAGGGAGACATAGTAAGAAAAGTATGAGGTTCAGAGTCAGACTGAACTGGGCTTAAATCCAAGCTCAGCATTTGGCTCCTTAGTTTCCTTATCTGTAAAGTGGATCTTCTACTCTTTCCTTGTAAGGTTGTTGAAAATCAGATTGTTTTTAAAAAACTATGGCACATCTTTGTGCCTTGCATAAGCACCAGCAACAAAAGCAACAATAAATAAACTGTCTTGATCAAAATTTAAAACATTTGTGCTTCAAAAGCTACCTTAAAGAAAGTGAAAAGACAACCCACAAATGGGAGAAAATTCCTGCATATCATGTATCTGATAAGGGATGAGTGTCCAAAATATATAAAGAATTTTAAAATTAGCAATGAAAAGACAACCCAATCCAAAGAATGGGTCAATGCTCTGAACAGACATTTCTTCTTATTTCATTTCTTCATAGGAAATAAACATGTGACCACTAAGCACACGCAAAAATGCTCAACACCATTAGCTATACAGGAAATGCAAGTGAAAGCCACAATGAGATGCCTCTTTACACCTACTAGGGTGGCATAATAAGAAACATAGACAAAAACCAGTGCTAGTGAGGATGTGGAGAAATTGGGAACCACACCCATGGCTGATGGGAATGCAAACTGCTGCAGATAGTTGAAGCAGTTTGGCAGTCTACTCCAAAGTATGTACAAGAATGTTCATGGTGGTATTATCCATAATAGCCCCCCAAATGAAAGCACCCAAATGTTCATTAATGAATGAATAACCAAAATGTGATTTATCCATAGGAAGGAATATTATTCAACTATGAAAAGGAAAGAAGAGCTGATATATGCGTGAACCTTGAAAACATTGTGCTCAACAAAAGAAATCAGGACATATATTGCATAATTCATTTACATGAAATGTCCAAAATAGGCAAACCCATGCTAGAAAGCAGATTAGTGATTGCAGGGAATGGGGGAGAGAGGATTGGGGAGGGAGTGCTAACAGTTACAGGATTTCCTTCTACGACAATAAAGTGTTCTGAAATTAGATAGTGGTGGTTGACTAATTTCACGAACATACTAAAACCAATGAATTGTTCACTTTAAGAGGTGAAGATTGGGCCTTCCTGATGGTGCAAGGGGTGAAGCAGCGCACTATGAAGCAGTCTGCAGCCTCTGTAGCACAAGTTCGATCCTTGGCCAGCCAGGGAGCAACCCACATGGCGTAGCAGACCTCTCCTGGCTCGCCCGTTGCTCCCCTCAGCTGTGTACTTTGGTCAATCTGCCTGTTCTGTTCCCCACTCTGTCTCTGGTGAATCCTCTCACCCACCCCCCTCATCTCTGGCCTGTACCCCAGCTCTTGTATGCATAAACAGATAAATCTTTAAAAAAAAAAAGAGGTGAAGATTAGCTATGTATGGTGTATCTTAATAAAAGAGTTGTACGAGGGGAAAAAGCATATAGTACTGAGATGGACACACACTGACCTAGATGTTATTGTTATTGCTGAGACTAAGTTCCTGTTTTCTAGGAACTCTCCGTCTAGTGGCAAATTCAGATTTGTAAAATAAATGACTAGAATTCTACATAGTTAGTTCTACTTGGAACATAAAAAGGGGAAAACTAATCCTGCCTGCTAAACTGGAAAAAACTTAAGACAAAAAAATTATAATCATCATCATCACCACCACCAGAGCCTCCATTTGCTGAGCACCTACTAAATGCCAGACACAGAGTTTAAGTGTTCTCTGTGTTTTAGCTCTTAATTCTCACAACAAACCTAAGAGGAAATAAGAATTATCAATCCCATTTCACAGATTGGAAAGGACAAAACCAGGATTTAAACCCAAGTAGTTCACCCCAGAGCCTGTACTGTTTTCAGTTTGCCAGGAGTAACAAGAAGACAGAATATTTACGCAGAGGGGATTGTCCATTCAAAGAGAAAGAGAGACAAGAAAGGAGAATCAGTTTGGATCCAGATCCTGAACGTCTTAAAGGCAAGAGTATGGCCTTGGTCCTGTGGGTGCTGGGTCCATGGCGGTGAGAGGCGACCAAACAGAACTCTATGGAAGTCCACAGAAGGACTCAATGGAAACCACAATGTTGAATGAGACAAGGGGTCTTCCTCAAGGACACTAGAATAGCCTATTAGAAGAGAAGGGAAGACACACAATGACCCAGCCAGCTACTTGCACTGGGGCAAAGGCCCCTGTACTCAAATGAAATCGAGTGAGGAGCACCGATAGTACCTAAAAGAGGGAAATGATGGTCTGGCTGAGAGGCAGAGACTCCTGTGCAGCATCCTGCCCTTCTCCCAGGTAGCCCCTGAAGCAGCTTCCCAAGGCAAGAGTTCAAGTTCACTCAGGGGTGGGGGGGGGGGCACCCCATCAAGTCAACAGGGGAGGAGACTTGCACACATACCTCACTGCTCAAATGCAGAGGCATGCAGAAACTTTCCTCTGCTCGGGATCAAACCTTATCTTTAAAAAATGCATTCTCTTCCCCTAGCAAATATTCCATCATCTAGTTATCACTCATTTGGGGCCGCAAGGGTCCCAAAGGGAAAGTGCAAACGAGCATATCAGAAGCTCCCACACCACAATCAGTGTGGCTTACGGCTGGAACCTTCCAGGGAGTTTTGTGGAAATCCAGTTAAGGGAAATGAAGTCATCACTGAGATACTACTCACTCCAGAGAGACCTCGGGGAGCTGGCGAGCAAGCTCCCTTGCTTCCTTCTGGTTGGAGCCCACCAGAGAGAACTAACTCCCCCAAGTCCAGCTCTGTTCCTTATCTCACACCCCAAACAGCTTGTCTGGCTCGGACATAGCTAGACCATGACGGGCATTTCAAAGCAAGATCCAAACCCACACTTGTGAGGTTGCCTTGGGGTTAAGTCTGAATTCACTGAATTTCTTTGCAGTTAGTGCATCTTTTCCTGTTTGCTGAGTTCTGTCACTCCAGGGCCAGGGAAGGAGTGGGGGTTGAGAGGATGGGGGGTGAAGGGCAGGACAGGAAGGCAGGGAACCCTCCTGCATCCTTCCATCCACTAGGCCTGACAATGAACTATTCGCAAGGCCAGGCAGGGGATGCCTTTTCCATCAGCTGGGGGCTGCTGTGCATTTTTCTTGCGAACAGTAGCTGGTGTAGTGTTTCTGACCGTCCCAGCTAAACCTGAAATCCTGTTGGCAAAAGCTCAGTTTTCCCACCACCCTGGGTCCCGGCACATACTTGGGGACTGAAATTTCAGAGACGCCAGTCATACCATAATCTAAAGTCAAAGCAAATACCAACAGGCCTAATTATATAAAGGGAGAAAATTTGGTGCAGATGTTATCAAGACAGTAGAGAAGGGTTGTTGGCAGAGGCCAGGCCAGTTCCTCTCGGAACACACTTGTTATGATTAACATGGGAACTCGGAGTTCTGACAAAAGGCCGAAAACCACGACTGCTACATGCCTGGGCAGAGGAGCTGGAGAGAAGCGGCTCCCCGGCATGCCCGCAGTGGATCTCTGGACACTGGGCGTGGTGCAAACAGACCTCAGATGCAAAGGATTCTGATAAACTCAACAAAGGAGTCCTCCTTTTCCCAGACCCATCCGGACTATCATCGGTCAGGACTTGTTTCTAAGGTAAACTTTTAATTAAAACACAGCCCTGAGGCCATCTTGAAACCCCAAATGAGACTCTAGCTTCTCCTAAGGGCTCTGTCCTTAGTGCCTCAGTGAAGCTGTGAGTGTTATAACAATCTACATAAGATTCCCAGGTCAACAGGAGTGCTTCCCCAAAGCTGTCCCCCATTCTCTGCATTCTGGGATACTCAGAGCCCAGTATGTGGCACACAGGATGCCTCAATAACCAGTGGATGGATGAATGAACTTCCTGCACCCTTGCAGGCCACCCAGTTCTGGCTCTCGGCTTATAACAGGGATGTTCAGTTTATGGCACAGGGTTTATGTCTGCAGATTCCCACCCAAGCTGGGGAGCTGGGGTCTGCCAAGGCGACCAACGTCACGGATGTCAGCAGATCTGTGTGCTCAGGCGACACAAATTTATTATCCAGTGGGGACGGGACAGATCCAACATCAGCAGGAAGTCCATTGTATAGATAAGCTTGGCAGTACTTAGCCTCCATGATCTCAGAGAGGAGAGACAAACACCACATGGAAAAATCAGCCCTTTATTTATCAAAGGGTGGGACAAGGGACCAGGGGACTCACAGTCAGGGCACAGGACTGGGGCAGCCCCAGCTCACCCAGGACCCCTGTGCCATCCCAGAGGAGCCCCACAGGCACGCTCACTTCTTGATGACATGGTGGAGCTCCACCCCACGAGTGTGTGTGCTGCCCTGCACCAAGAAACCCAAAGGGAGTCCCCAGAGAGAGCTTCAGAGGGGACCAGGGCTAAGCCAGAGGTCAGCAGTTTGCAGGCCTGATTTCCATTTCTGAGTTTCCTTGGGAGCTCTGTGTTGCAGATACGCCAGCGAGATGGGGTACAGAAAGGCTGCACTTGGAGGCTGCAGGCTGAATGGAGTCTGCCCTTCACCATCTTGTTTTGCTGGACTATGTGCCTCTTTGCAAAGGATGGTGAGAGCATCTAAACTGTATCTTGCCCAGCACTTTTACTTGCCAGTCTTTGCTATTCACTTTATGTATTT